AGGGTCGCGCCACTAGGAAGGTTGAGAACTGCTCTAGCTCTTCCAGTCATCATTTCTTCCAATCACTCCATTGAGTCTGTGTGCAAGAGCAAGTTTCCGACTCTGGTTGCTTTGGGTCTTTTCTCTCTTCCTTGTTTTTTTAATACCCTTTTGTGTTCTTCATGGTTGACGTCTTTGATTTCATCCCACAACTAATGGTCTTCAGCCAGTTGCGTCAATGCATCAAAAGCATTCTTGCAGTGGGCTCTCAAATCATGCGGTCAGTGGAGCACTTTGTGGTGATACCTTCATTCACTGATGATGCGTTCGTTCTTTCCAACATTTTGATGATTGCAAATACTGCTGTTAACTCTGTGTACATCTCTTTGAATACCTGATGTCAACCTTTTTGTTTATCACGGAGTGACATTGCTGTGATAATTCTGTGTTTAACTTCTGGAGGACACACCAGAATTTTCCCACAGTAGCTGCCCTTTTATTCATGGCCATAAGTATTTGCAAATTGTGATTTTCATCACAATTTCAGTAAATTGCCTAAAATGCTTGAAAGAAACCAGTGCACGGACTCTTCAGAAACAGTTTTTCTTCTGCAACAATATTTATGAATTTCTTCTTCATCCAATAAAAAAATTAATTATCAGTCTTTAAACTTCACTATTCTACTTCTTGTCAGTGGGAATATTTGAGGTTTGAGGACGTTTGAGGCTTGCAAACTAAGCAACCAATTCTAATAGTGTCGATAAGATAACCCAAGGGCAAATGTATGGCAGAAGGCCGCTGTTACTCATATGGAATAGACAAGTCCACAAATCCTGGCTCATACCATTTGTAGACGTTTCTTTTCATGACCTTTTGAACTACATCATCATATCTGTCATGAACATTGGGCATTAAAAAAGTATAAGTAAACGATATATTTTAGTATTTAATTTATTAGAACATGGTAGTAGTACATTAAGAGTTATATTCGAAGTCTGCTGGCAAGCACAACATAAACCGGTGAAGACAGTGTCTGTTTATAAATAGTTTATATATAGCAACTCTTGCTTTTACACCCAGGAGGAGATAGCATGGAGTGGCTAGAATGAAGCCGAAGGCCCTTGATTCAGCTTGGCCTCATAACTGGTGTAATCGTGTATGATTTCCCTCGGTGTGCCTGTGGCGATTAAGTTGATTCTTGCAGTGTAAGTGCTTTGCTACCTGCGGTTCATCCAAAGCCTGGCAGTTCAAGCCTTCCTGATGACACCATGGAAGAATGGCTACAGGCAAGAAACCTTATGGTGTTCAGCTTTACCCTGCACCACACGGGGCTGCTGTCAGCCAGAATCGACTGCAGGGCAGCGAGTATGATTTGCCCGTTTAATCTTGCAGTGGAAGAAATAAGCAGCAATTAAGTTTAACTCTGGCTGCGGGGCACTGAATTATTTAATGTGCCCCTTTCAGCTGAAATCTCTAGCTCCCACCTAACAACCTTGCCTGCATGGGTCTAGGAAGATGATGGGGGAAGATGCTGATAAGATTCACCTGTGAGTAATTGTACGGGATTCCCTGCATTGTTGCCCGCCAAAATATCAAACTCATTGCCATCCAGTCAATGCTGACTCACAGTGACCTCCTGTGGAGTTCTAAGATGGTAACTGTTTATGGGAGTAGAAAGCCCAGTCTTTCTCCCTGGGAGCTGCCGGTGGTTTACAAACTGCTGACCATGCCAATCACAGACCGAGGCATAACCATTACACCACTAGTGCCATACTGCTCTGTTTAAAATGAGCCCTATGTGAAGCAGGAGAGGAGCTCTGGTAATGTAGTGATTAAGCATTGGGCTGCGGTCTGCATAACCGGCTGTTCAAAACCACCAGCAGCTCCCAGGGAGAAAGACTGGGCTTTCTACTCCTGCTAACAGGCACAGGCTTAGGAATCCACGGGAGGTTGCTGTGCGTCAGCACTGACTTGGTGGCAGGAGGCATCTCATGACTAGCAAGAGCCAGGAGGAGCCCGCATCTCTGGACCCCAGATCCCTGGGTGGTGCACCTCCTGCATCCAGAAGACAGCTATAGCATCCGAGCAGCAGCAGCAGGACCCGGAGCCAGAGCATGGAACAGAGTGGTGGACTTCTCCACCCACAGAGCAACTAAGCGGAGTGCTTTGGTGTAGGAGGCTGGCTTGAGAAGTTGGGGCCTCTGGGCTTGCTGTAATTGGAGAATTGGGCTTGCTGATCAGGGACGTGGAACTGAGAGCCTCTGGGCTCAGGCTTACAGGAGTGGAGTGCCTCTGGGCACTTCATCCAGGGAGCTGGGTTTGCTGATACTTGGAGCTTGAGCCCAATGACTTCCCATGGAGGCATCCAGGGCAAGGGCATGCCCTTTTGGCCATTTTAGCAGCCGGAATAAACTTTCCAAGGTGTCCTGGAAAACAGCTATCCTGAGCATTCCTCACAGTCATTTCAACCGTTTAGCTTCCTAACGAACCCTTGAATCGTCTATGTTTTATCTGTGAGTACTGTGTAGCCATTGCACTGAGCATTGGCACCTGGAGCTCAAGTAAAGAATACTCATTCAGCCAGCAAAGTGGCCGCCAGGAATAAAGGACAGACACTCCGGGGCCTCTAAAGAGCATTCAACTGTGACTTAAATGTTTCATGTGGCTTTAAGACCTTCGTGACTTGACTGTTAAAAATAGTAGCAAGTCGGAACACAAAATCACACATGTTGTTCTCATGTAAGCAGTGATCTGTTTACATAGGATTCAGTAGATTTTAGAGTTATGTAATGCAATGATTTTTTTTTTTCCCCAAAGTGCTTGTTTCCACGAGTGGATTTCAGGGGTGCTCAGCACTGGTTGACTCTTGGTGTGCGTAGACTGCCACAGCTCCCTCCCACAGAGCAGCTGGTGGGGCCGAATCACTGACCTGTCCGTTAGCAGTTGACCGATGTGCTTCCAAACAGACTCTTAGGGCCTGGCCACTTGAAGAGAGTTGAGAAAGTCAGTGGTGAAGTAAGGCGATTGTGAAGGACATGGAGAGGTTGGGGGGTGGGAAACAACAGCCAGTTGTATGCTCCAGTGACGGTTCCAAACCACCTGTCTGCTGAGGGGAACTTAATCTGAGTTTCCTGGGAAATGCGACATCATCAGGACTCTTCATTGGCATGCCAGCCCACTGACAGAATGAATGGAAGTGTTTAATCAGGAAATTTGAGAAGTAAAAGTCATCCAGTGACCCTTCGGGATATTACACTTGCATCTCAAATTCCTGTTTTAGACTTTTCAGAAAAGCAGGTATATGTCCAAAGCCATGGTTTGGGATCCCAGTTGCACACCATCCAATCACAAGGCCTTCAGAAACTGCAGTTGCTTCTTGGGTGCTAATTGGGATCCAGTAGGGTGTCCCTGACTTCTTCCCCATAAGGATGTTGAAGGCAGCAACCACAGAAGTTGCCCTGAACTCCCCCAACACTCAGGGTTTCCGCAGTTTGTTGTGGCCTTGAGAAAGGGGGAGGGAGCAAAAGTGGAGATTCAGACAGAGCATGCGCAGAGGCCATGACAGCATCTTGGGGTAAGATTTCCCAGAAACCTTTGTTACCCGATGGAAGGTCCTGATTGTCTCTTGTATGAGCAGAAATCCTTAGCACTTGGTGGGAGGGGGCAAGACATAATTCGCCAGGCAGTTCTGGCTGGTAAGGATTTCTTCCTCCTAGGAGTTGCCAAATGAGATTTGCTTTCAATGTCGGTGTCTTGCTCTTGGTGAGGCTAGAACCCAGTTCCAGCAACAGCATCAAGAGTTTTCTGATGACACTGATGTTAGGTTGATCCTGTTACGTGGTTATGTGTCTCCTGCAGATGTTCTGCAACTCGTCCTCTAATTCCTTCCCTGGGCATGTCCTCTTCAACCATGTATTTGTTCTGTCCCTCCCCTTTCTCACCAAGAAGTCTACTTCTCTGCATCTGTGGGCAGAGCACAAGGGAACCTGAGAATCCGGGACCTTTGACCTAGGAAGAAGATGAGCTCCTCCATTCAGGGTTTCTTTTCGAAGCAACACTTGTGTCTGTGTGACTTGAGGGTGTCTTTGATTGTGAGCTGAGGGCTGGTGGTGCACACCTGCCAGGGACACTTCCTAATGATGGCATTCGTTTTGCAAGCCTTGCTTTGTTCTGTGTTCTATGTAAAGTCCTTTTCTCCAGAAAAAGCACGCCTTTTCTTCTGCGGGATCAGCCCTAGCGTCAGGGGCAGAAATCTCCAAGGACTGGGAGGCACGCTCTTTTCCTTGGCTGCTTCCTGATGTTTCACGTTCACCTTTGAAACCTCATCACCACTCTCAGGAGTCCAGAAGGTCTGCCCTGACTGGGGGCCCTGCAGGTCTCCCCGTTTGCCTGCATTCTCATGTCTGCAAAATCGCCAGAAGCAGAGCCGACACAGCTGTCATCAGAGGATGATGAGGTTTCCATGGAAACCAACTTCCTCTAGCCAGCATGCTTGAAGTTCTTTACTCTGAGATTCTTGTGCAGCCCGCGTCGTGTCTGTGCTCACAGTGGGTACCCAGGCTGGTGAAGCACCCAGAACAAGGAGACCCAAGTGTATTGCTTTGTGACAGTTAAATTCACTTTCACAAAAGGATGTCTAGGGGGAATCTTCTTAACAGATAGCAACCTACCATGATCATGGATTTATTTCTTTCTGTTGTGGATAAAATTATAAGCACACCTCCTTTTCTCCCAGAGCCACGCAGACAGCCATGGTGATCCTGGTGATCATGAGCTTGATGATAACATGGTAATATTTGTTCTAAATGTAACTTAGAGGATTATGTAAGATAACGTAGAATGGATTAGTGATCCTTCAGGTAAATGCCTACAGCTTTTTCTTTTTGTTCTTTGCCAGACTCTGTGCTAGGTGTTGGGGATACAAAAATGAATGAAGAGAGTATTTGCTTTTGAGGCTGCAAAAGTATATGTGCGCACACACACGTACTCAATTTGCACCCCCCCCCCTTTTTGGCCTTTAGTACAGACGGATACTGTTTCACGATGATAGAAGAAGATGATTCTGGGATGCCCGTGGTCACTTCTGGATGCTTAGGACTAGAAGGCTCAGATTTTCAGTGTCGGGTAAGAAAGTTAACATGACTGCACATGCCCCCTCCCACCCCTGTCCTCATTGGCCAGATTTCAAACTGTTGAGTTGGAAGCAAAATCTGGCAGCGGTTTTTCTTGACCCATCTATTTTAATAACTTGAACAACAATCTGACAATCCTCCTTGGCTCAATTCTCCCTTCTTAAAAACCTTACATTCTTTTTAGTTTACTCCTGACTTCGTGCCTCTTGGTGCATTCTGTCATCATGCTCATATTTCAATTTGGCTAATTGCATTAACTCAATGATAATAGTACTGTTGTTGGAATCTGAAAGTTGCATTAAGACCACGTAGGATAATTTGGATGAGGCCTCTAAATAGTGGTGAATTCTTAAATTTGTGATGGTGTGACTTTGCAATGTAGAGGAAACTCACTAAAAGCTTTTTCAATTCCATCACAGGACACCCCCATTCTTCATCAGAGAAGATCGATCGAATGCTGCACAGAACGAAATGAATGTAATAAAGATCTACACCCTACACTCCCTCCACTGAAAAACAGAGGTAAGGAAGGAGAGGACGGTCTCTTGGCTGGAGAAGAGAAACTAAACTTCATTTCTCTCTTTCAGTTGAGTCAGTCTGTGCTATTTGCCATGCTTGGGGACTGAGGACCGTATCAAGAAGAAATGAGTTTACTGTTGTTGGAAATAGCTGGGAAAAGAGTCAGACCTGGCTTTGCCCTTATATTATAGTTACCCTGACCTCCTCCTCACTTCCCTTCAGAAACCTCCCATTCCTAGAGGTTGCAGTGTGTAGCCTGAGAACAGAGCAGGAAGATAGTGTTTCATGCTTACCCCAAATGTTATTTAGAAGTTCACTTTAAACTACCATTTTGCAACATTCATTCTAAATTGAAGACCTTTTAAGGGACTCAATCTAAGATTATTTACTGTATGGCATTTAAAAAAATTATGCTGAAGTAACTGCTTTTCATCAAATCATTTATTAATACGTTGGTGAAACTCAATATATTCAAGTGATGTTCACATTTTTAAAAGACCAACATTGCACCCCCAAATGGTTCTACATGATTGGTTTTATTTGTGGGAAGAAAAAAATATCTTCCCTACAAAACATCCTGGTGATCATGAGCTTGATGATAACATGGTAACATTTGTTCAAAATGTAACTTAGAGAATTATGTAAGATAACGTAGAATGGATTATTGATCCTTCAGGTAAATGCCTACAGCTTTTTCTTTTTGTTCTTTGCCAGACTCTGTGCTAGGTGTTGGGGATACAAAAATGAATGAAGAGAGTATTTGCTTTTGAGGCTGAGATTTGAAAGAGAAAGTTGTAAAGAGTTAAATATTTGGTCATGAATATCTCAATAATATAATTAGGTTATAAAGACTTAGGGGACTGCAAAAGTTCGAGGAAAATTTTCATAATTTATTAATTTCATTTTTATACAAACATTTTGAAATCCTCTCATACATTTATGACACAAAGGGTGAATCTGTGGACATCTCTTTCTGGGACAGAAGGATTTGAAAATACTTTAGTAGAAGTAAAACCCAAATGAAAATTTTAAGTATAAATGGGAGTTTGCTAACTTGACAAAACAGAAATAAATTTGGGGGTGGAGTGGGGGAAGAAGCTTATATGAGCCCCGCACCGTGTTATTTCATAAAGTTTAAGCTTCATAATATTCCATCAGAGGCTAATGATTATTATTGGCAGTTTAAAGGATAGGAAATTGCAGCACAGAGAAACTAAACTTTTCCAACGTTGCACAGCCTATAGCAGTAGCAGTCATTTTAAACGGAGGTGATAATAGATGCAAAGATTTCGCTTGAAATATTGTGGGGGGGGGACTTCAACCTATAAGCATGGTTGTTTGGGGAACTCTGAGTTTTCTCGAGGATGTCTACTTGAAGTAAATCTCTGGCAGCAGCACCCATGTCACCCAGGAACATGGCAGCCATGCAGGGCCTCAGGCCTTACCCCGAGTTTACAGAATTTAAAAAAAAAACAACAACTAGCTTTCAACAGGATCTTCCAAGTAATTCATATGCACATTAAAGTTTATAGCACTGCCTCTAGGAAAATATATGATTAGTGCACATAGCTAGTGACCGTGGCAACACTGCGTTTAAAGTGAAGGCCATTGAGGTCATCATTGCTGTGGACCAGTTACAAAGGAGGCCGTCCACGGACAGCGATTGGGACTTGGGTTTTGGGTAGTGTGGGATGGTAGAGGGTAGGGTGGAAGTACCAGATTTCAGAATCTCTTTCATGGAGAAGGGCCTTTTTGCATGCAAGTAAAAGTCATGTGTCCCAGAAGCAGCAGTAAACCAAAACGCCCTGCTGCCAAGTCAGTGCTGACTTCTAGTGACCCCACAACACAGGATTGGGAGAAAGAAGAGGGGTCCCGCTCCTGTAGAGAGTTACAGCAGGATCGGAAACCGACAGGTCAGTTCTCTTCTCTCCTGAGTCAGGATCCACTCACCAGCAATGAATTTGAGTTCATAGAACAGGGTAGAACTGACCCTGTGGGTTTCCAAGACCCTAAGCAGCTAGTGGTTTCAAACTGCTGACCTTGCAGTGAGCAGCAGCCCATCGTGAAACCACCGTACCATGCCACCAGGGCCCTGCAGAGGTAGCAGCAGGGTTTTGGAAAATTCCTGATTCTCAAGTGCTGCAGTGAATATGCTACCCTCTAGGTGGAGCCAAGTTCTAGTAGGATGCGGAAGAGGAGGGCACATTCTCAGAGGGGTAGCAAATGCAGTGACTTTGTAAAGCAGAACAGCCCTGTTGGATATCGTGAAAGACTTTGACAAGATCCACAGCAGTGTGAGGTAGTCCTTCGGTTCAGTGCAGTGTGGGGAGGAGAATGCACAGGGACTGGTGTTTTAAACTGAGGACTGACTGTACACGGGATAGGCTTAGACAGAGTGAAGGAGCGTTAGAAGTTTGGGCTTTGAACTGTGAGGATAATAAGTGCCTATATACTTGCGTATAAGAGGACCCGAATATAAGCTGAGGCACCTAATTGTACCACAAAAATGGCATTAAAAATGTGCTGGGAACGCTTGGCTTATACACGAGTATATAGGTGGTTTCCAGGCAAGGTCTGCAGATTCCGCCTCATGCTTTGGTGAGACCTTACACGTGACGGCAGTCTGCGGTGGGAAGGGCCTGGCGTTTTCACAGGACTGTGCCGCTAAGCCACGGAGCTGCTACTTTATAATTTTTCTCCTTTGTACATGTGCAGTGTCCTTGTTGACAGCATACCACACCCATGCTGAAGATCAAAAATGCCTCGCTTGGTTAGACGTCTTTGTATTGTCTCTTTAGTGGATGGATGGATGGATGTTCATATCCGATTCGCCACTCCCCTGCCACTTTGTCATGCTCTGGTGACTTGTGTGTTGCTGTGATGCTGGAAGAATCGCAAATACTAGTAGGGACACTCTTGATGGATAGGTTTTCAGCAGAAGATGCAGACTAAGGCAAGCTTGGAAGAAGCAATACACTTCTGAAAATACAGTGAAGAAAACCTTATGACTGTCAGTGACATAGTGGAGCTAGATAGGCCCCTCAGCGTGGCTGGCCAGCACTCCGCATGGGCAGTGGTTGCCACCGTACGGCCACCGTGGTGAGGATGGTGCAGGACCGGGGAGTGTTAGTTCTTTCTACAGGAACACGCCGTGTCAGGATGGACCGGATCGCATTGGCAGCTACAGACCCCCCTCCCGCAACCCCAATTCAAAAAAGAAGAAGAAAAAGGAATGATCCCAAAGAAACATACCTATGTTAGCTATCTTTCTCCAGCCAAGGAGCCTGCGTGGCGCAGTGGTTACATGTTAGACTGCTCAATGGAAGGTCAGATGTTTGAAACCACCAGCCACTCCAAGGGCTTTCTACTCCTGCAGAGTTACAGTCAGAGACTCACAAGGGCAGTTCTATCCTGTCCTATCGGCTCGCAATATGGGGCTATCAGTTTGATGGCAGGGAGTTCGGAGTTTGGGGTTTTCTTTATACAGAGGCCCACCCCCACCTTTTGTAGCGATGTGGCACAGGTAAAAATCCACATATAAGTTGCCCAAGTATTAAGATTCATAAGCCAATATAGCAATCTGATAGTGAAATATAGTCTATCAATCTAATTTAAATATACTTCATGAACACAGGGAACACCAACTTGGTATTTAAGGTATTTGGCCTTCCTTGCTCTGATGGGCATGGGCATGATGAAGAGATACCCGCGTCCAGTTTTGTTCATTGCCCTGAGTGGTCTCACATGCATGTGGACATCACAACCATCAGGTAACACCCTCCTCACACCCCTTGGTCACCTCTGGACCACATTTCCGGTTGTGGAGTGTGCCCATCTGTGACTCAGTCTACTCTTGGGAGTCTGGGCACGAGAAGAAGAGCTTCATAATCCAGGACACATGTACAGAGCCACTTAGGCAAAGAGTTACAGAGTTTGGGACACTGGGGAGTGGTTTAAAAGGGAAGTCGGGGACGGTGGGACACGTTCTGGTGGACATCGTCCCTTGGTCCTTCACACCTCTTGCCCAGTGACAAGATCATGGTGGGAGTATACCAGAGTGGGACCTTCAGAAACAAAAGGGCCCGGGTCAGGAGCACCTATTTCTGATCTAAAAGAAATAGGAATTATGGCAGTTACAATACGCATCACGTATAATGTTTACGTGATGTCAACAGAGAACATACTATGGTTCTTTTCTATGTGTCTACAAACTCATTTTATCCTCATCGCAACCTATGTGGAAGGTACTCTTAGCCCCATTTTGCAGACACCAAAGCTGAGAAATAGTGCTGCGAAGTCCCAGGCAAGATTGCACAGCTACAGAACGTGGTGAAATTAGGAAATGGACTTTAATGCCTAGAACCATCTTATTGACATCCTTACATGCTTTTCTTATTTAGAGTGAGAAAACCCGAAATCAATGAAAACCAGCTATTTCATATGAATACACACACACACATATATATTAGTGCAATTTCTTTAAAGCCCTTTATGCCTTACACTACACTGCAGAATAAGAATTTTATCAGATATTAATTAGTTTCATTTCTGGTGATATGGTATTTGTTCTTCTCTCCCTCTTTTTCCCTATTTCCTCTTCCTTTCTCCTATGCTTATTCAGTTTCAGTTGTATACTCAGCCGGTGATTCCCAAACTCTGAAGTGTGATCATTGCAGTGATTTTTAGATGAACTACAATACTGGTGTGTCATCAAGTTGCTCTTGACTCATAGTGACTGTGTCAATCGGGTAGATGAGAGAAACAAATTCATAGACACTCATATGTGCATAAGAAAGAGCTTTATATACAAGAGCAATCAAATATTGAGAAAGCATCCCAGCCCAGTTTAGATCAAGTCCATAAGTCCAATATTAGCCTATCTGTCCAGTCCCAGTCTATAAATTCCTCTTCAGAATCATGCAACACATGCAACCACGCCAAATGCAGGAAGATCACAGGCCTGTGTGTGGGAACTTTTGTGGATCCAGTGGTGGTAGTGGCAT